TATTGTTTTATAAATGCTGACGGAAGACAGGATTGCTGAGCCAGAGACAAAGGACCTGCCACCTTGGCATAGCAAGCAGCATGCGCATCATTGTTCCCTCTCTTCCCCTTGTTCCCAAGTTTCATGGGAGAAGCACAGATCGGTGCAAGTGAATGTTACACGACCAGGGGGGTTTGCATCATAGCGGAGGAGTACCAAGCTTGGTACTCCCACCATTGTCCCCTTTTACCTAAACCACTTTTATAGTAAGCAGCAAGCAAGCCTGCTCTGTGTTTTAGAGGAATTGTTCCCTCATTTCTCAAAGTTGTTGGCCGCAAACACAACACTGAGAACTGGCTGGGGAGAGAGGCCTTGCATTCTTGGCATACCGGGTGATAATATCCAGGGATGCTCAGAATCCATGGTGGACCGCCTCACCCAATAACACCCATCCCCCCTCTCTGCTTGCCAAAACTCTGTCCCTCTTCAAATGACACTTCATTCTTGCAGCTTTCCCCAGCCCTTCCATCACACACACATCCTCCATCCCTTTTGTACTTTCCGTGTAGTTCTCATGTATCCCTCTATGTTGTGTCCACAACGGTCTCTCCCCTGCCAGCAAAGTGCCAACACTCTGAGGGCAGGTGGTCCTCTTCCTGCATTCTTCAGCCAGATTGTTTGCATCCACAGGTGCTTAGGCCATATTTGTTGAGTTGGAGGAATCAAGATCTTTGTGCACGGCTACGTTTTTGCAGAGAGTCTGCTGAACCACCCCTTGGAATGTCTTCAAGATTCCAGAGGCTAAAAATATCTCCCCAAAACCACGGCATTGATTTCCTTGTAAGGAGTGACTTGGCCGATGAGGCTGAAGGTCTAGGCCCCCACCAGGTGGCGCCCAACCCTCAACTTTTCAAATGCTTTTTTTTTTTTTAGAAGAGAAATGGTTCTTCTCTTTACATGTTTATTCAGTTAGGTTCCCCACTCACAGAGATAGTTTGTCATCAGTCCAGCACCCAGATTCGGCCCCCTAGTTGCCTGTTCTAGCCCCAGCCCTTCTCAAGATTGGCACCCTGAGGGCACTGAGGATGTCCCTCCGGGGGGTTTGCTGAGGGGAAAGCCTTGAAATTGGGTCAGATGACCTAGGTTTGAGTCCCCACACTTACACTTACGGGTTGTGTTTCTTTGGGCAAATCATGTAACATTTCTGGGTCCCTGTAAAAGCAACTGAGAATAAAATATAGGAAAGTATATTAAAGAACCCAGGCTCCTGTTTAAACAGTCACCCATCAGCTCTGTGAACATAGTCAGCTTCCTTAACCCTCCAAGCCCTGGTTTCCCCATCAGCAAATCTAACAGTAGTAATTTTATAGGGCTGTTATAAGAATCAGGTAGAACAATTAATATAAAGGGCTCATCATAGTGCCTAGTGTACAATAGGCATTCAGTGATCACATATATATTGTTTATCCTTAGCCCCTAAAACAATGCCCAGCACGGCTCATCATAGTGCCTAGTGTACAATAGGCATTCAGTTTATATAGTGATCACATATATATTATTTATCCTTAGCCCCTAAAACAATGCCCAGCACTTTAATAGGTACTTACTATCCACTTGCTGAAAGGATTTCACAGATGAGGAAACTGAGGCACAACGAGGTCCCAGAACTAGGGAGTGATGAAGCAGTCTGCCTCCAGGGCCTCTCCACCATGATGCCTCACATAGATATGTCTTACACATCACCATCTATTTATTTATAATGGGCATTCAGCCCTGGCCTGTGAGGCTCAGTTGGTTAGAGTGGCGTCCTGATACACCAAGGTTGTGGATTTGATCCCCGGTCAGGGCACATTCAAGAAACAACCAATGACTGCATAAATAAGTGGAACAACAAACCTATGTCTCTCTCTCCAATCAATAAATAAAATTTAAAAATAAATAAAATATGCATTCAGAGCTTGCTCAGTACCTACAGGTGGGGCTGTGTTGGCAGTGAGAGGCATTAGTTCCTGAGAAGCCACATACTTTTTCTCCCCTAAGGGGAGCCAGTCTGCTGAAGGAGAGACCCGCTCGGCCAGGCCAGATGTCATGGACGCACTCCAGGAGATGAGAGACTAGTTCTGCAGAATAGGATTAGCTGGGATTCTGATGCGTGCACAGTCCCCAGGGTAAGAGGGCCTCTCAGGTCCATTGCTGTCTCTGCAGCCACTCAGCCACCCACTTCACTGACATCTACCGAGTCCCTCATATGCCAGGCACAGGCAAAGCTGGAAAGGTGTGATAGCCAATGCTTACGATGTACCCACTCAGAACTACTGCAGAGGGGTGCTCCAAGGCAGGGTGGGCTCAGGAGAACCAGCAATCAACAGTTTGGGAGGCTGGGTCAAAGGGAGGGGCATTTGCACTGGCACTGAAGGATATGCAGGAGTGTGCCAGGCAAGTGGGGTCTGGGAATGAAGGGCATTCTGAGCTCGTTTGGGAAACTAAAGATGTTGGACAGGCTTGACATGCTGGGTGGGATCATGGGTAAAGAAAGGAAGTGAAAAATCAGGAAATGGGAAGTCAGTTGGGGCGAAATTATGAAATATGCCCATAGTAGAGAAAAAGCCCTATCCTGTGGTCTGTGGGGGAAGCAGTGCAATAAACAACCAGGTCTGTGTTTTAGACCTGGCGTGCAAAGGTTGGATAAAAGGAGAGAGAAGAGAGACCAGCTGCAGCGAGCAGTTTTGTGATCTTAACTCCTCTAGGCTTCATTTTCCCCTCAGTAAATGAAGAAACCCATTTGTGCCTCAGTTTCCTCATCTGTGAAATCCTTTCAGCAAATGGGTATTAAATACCTATTAAGTGCTGAGCCTGTTTTGAGGCTCAAATGAGAATATATGTAAAGCATACTAATAACAATAATGTAAAGTATCAGTCGTTCTCATCACAGGCCATTTTGTCTAGTAGTTCAGCAAAAACACACTTAGGGTCCAGCCCGTGTGGCTCAGTGGTTGAGCATCGACTTCTGAACCAGGAGGTTACAGTTCAATTCCTGGTCAGGGCACATGCCCAGGTTGTGGGCTTGATTTCCAGTAGGGGGTGTGCAGGAGGCAGCCAATCAATGATTCTCTCTGATGATTGATGTTTCTATATCTCTCTCCCTCTCCCTTCCTCTCTGAAATCAATAAAAATGTTTTGTTTTGTTTTGTTTTTAAGTTAAAAAAAAGCAACACGAGAGCCTAGGCTGGGCTGCTTTGGCTCACTGGGAAGTCAGAGAAAAGGGGCCTCGGAAATAAGTTCAGGGCTTTAGCCTGGGATGAGCTGCTGCTGCCCACTCTCCCCTGGTTGCAAGTCTCAGCTTTAGGAGATGGTGCCTGTGGGGGAGAGGAGGGAAGGAATGGCAGGGGCATACTCCCCGGGGCGGGGGAGTTCGGGCTGGGTCCTTTGTGTTGAGAATATTGCTCTCTCTTGCAGGTGGAAATCTTAGGGGAGGTCTCAGGGAAGGGTCTCAATAGCATATTCATCAGCTTTCCGGGTGTGCTCTTTCAGGGTCATGGTCTCCGCTGATTGGTTGGGGCCAGGGTAGGGGCTCATTAGTCAATGCAGCTGGTCCTAAGGCAACCATGACTTCACTTGTCTAGTTTTGCTGCTTTTCTGGGCCTGGAGCTGAAATACAACTGAGGCCTAGATGTTATCTTTAGGGAGGAAAAGGTCAGGGGGTCTAACTGCATGCG